ACCCATAGACGCAACATTATTTATATATATATATATATATATATATATATATATATATATATATATATATATATATATATTACTACTATTATTATATTATTATTATTAATATTATTATTATTATTATTAACGTTTTATTTTATACGGAAACAAAAAATGTAATTCTTCATTTTATACAAGTTTGATACTCGAAAATCGCTTTCTTTTACGAAACTATATTTTGTCAGAAAACATGTACCTGCGTAATGAAAAAACGAAAAGCCACAAAGTACTACACTTAATCAACGCATCACAATTTGAAAAATCACTTTGAGAGAACGAGCGTTTGTTAATAAGTAAAAGTTAATTTTTTTTTATAGTTTTAGCGGTAATTAAGATTTTCGTTGCTCCGTTGATATTGAGAGCCACGACGGATTTATGAAATTTGTTGTCGATCAAGGTTACCTATTTATTAAAAGATAAATTAATAAAATGAAAAAAGAATACGAGTTCCCAAAAACATGAAAAAAAAAAAAAACAAACAAAAAAAATTTGTTAAATAGTTTTGGGTCAGGCAGGCCATGACCATAAGCGTAACATAACAAAAGAATAATCGTGGAAGAGGGAGAAAAATTTCGTAACCGAGAGGACCAAGCAAAAGTTAAACCTTAAAGTAACGTCCAAAGGACGTTAACAACATTATCGCGATAAGCAAAGCTAAGAGTTTCTGAAAGAAAGAAAAGTAATTTTTTCACAGCACTGTGCCCCAACAAAATGTTGTCTCACACGTGTTTCATAATAATAATAATAATAATAAGGAAAAGGTGAAAAGGCCACGAGTATACTCAATCTCCACAGAACCAGTGACAATTGATTTAAAAAAAAAATAAAACAAAACAAAAAAAAAAAAACAGGAAAAAAAAGATTTACGAGTACATGAATCGAAGCCGATTGGTCTTATAAAGCTGTGCGAGAACGGGCCGAATCTCTGTATATTTTTGTACAGAAATTTTTTTCTAGTATGTACCATAAGTGTTTAAGAGACACCGAGTGATAGATTTTTAAAAAGGACTCATAAATAGAGAGATAGACGAAGGCGGTGAGAAGGAGCTTGTTTTATTTGCCGAGTACTTACTTCTGCTCTCTGTAAAATAACAAAATAAAAATGCTTGCCACTTTACTTGCCCTTTTATCCCAGCAGCGCGTTACACTTGAATTAACGAGGATTAAAAGCCCAACGAACAAAAAACGATAAGAATAAAAAGGATATTGTCAGCGAAACTCTGCAAATGCACGTTGTACAGGTTTTACAATTTTATTATTAGTCTCAATTTTTTTGTTTTCAAAATTTGTACGTTAAGTAGAGGCTCGAGTGTAGGTTGAGCTTGCGTTTGAATTTATTTTTGAAATTTCATGTGTTTGTGGTATGTGTACATTGTAATAGAGGAATAAAAGTATTTTTTTTAATGTTTTTTCAATTGATCCTCGAACCGTTGCGAGTTAAACGGAATTTCAAAACAAATACATGTAAGCGGAATAAGAACGCTGTTAACGATTAGCGTGCCAAACAATCCGTTTTTGTAATTATCATCGATACTTAGCCATGAGCACGTTAGTTACGTAATCATAACTATTTTTATCATTAGTTATTACTACTATTAATTATTATAATATTATTATGATTATGATTATCATCATCATCATCATCATCATCATCATCATCATTATTATTATTATTATTATTATTATTATTATTATTATTATTATTATTATTATTATTACTTAGTTACGTTATTAATCAATGTTTAATGCTTCTATTATTTATTTTGTTATCCCGTTTAAAAATCAAACCAACGCCCAAAAAACAGAATTCTTTCAGCCGCCCCTCCATTTAATCCTCCGTCAACTTAATATTATTATTATTACTATTATTATTAAATAAAATGATAATGTAAAATCTATCGCCAAAGCCAATCTGTCTCTCTATGATCTCGCAGCTTGCGAGAACGAACAAGAATCATCGTTATTTGTTTTTGTTTATTATTTTTTTTTTCCTCTCGATTTCTTTAACGAATAGAAATTGCGCGCTAATGCATTTACGTCTATCTCTCGTCGTGTTATTAAGTTCCTCCCTTAATATTTGTTAAATAATGCACGTCGATGTTATTGTGCCTTTGATGAAAATGCACAAAAGTTGACGCGAGTTTGAGCGAATTAGAGAGAGAGAGAATGGCATCGGTGAGGAAGGATAAAAATCACGCGAACTCTCGAAATGAGGACGAAGAATAGACGCCTTTGTAAATTATTAATATTGTCTACAATGTGTAAGTTTGTTTATAAAAAAAAAACAAAAAAAATTATGTTGTGTTTAACAACATGTGCCAGAATTGAAAAATATAATTTTTTAAACGAATACGTTTTTTTTTAATTTTTATTTATTTATTATTTCATACTCAAATATATCCCGCATGTTCCACCTTTTCATTGTGACTAGAGTTTAAAATTTTTTTTATATTTATGTTCTTTAAAATTGATTAAGCTTAAAGAAAAAAATGAAATCGTGCCTTCAAGTATCACGAATTTATGACATATAAGACATTTATATGGCACTTGAAACATATCATTTAATCGTTAAATATTGTATATAATGCACTAATTGTTTAATGATTAACAATACTCAGCAGTATAAATTGCAATGAATTATTAAATCTAGTCTATAAAAAATTTTTTATAAATATAGTGTATACGTTAGAGAACATCAATTATTAACGTTATGGGCTTTTGTCGATACTAAGAAAAGAAAGAACGATGTTTTTGCATCATTGTAATTAAAATAATATCACATTACATGTGAAATTATGCTGTACGAAAGAATACAAACCAATGAATTT